TGCGCCGACGGCGGGTGGGGCTCCCTGCTTCCGCTGGTCACGCGGGAGGCGGCCAGGCTGCGCGGGAAAGACCGGTGGGCGGGTGCTGCGGAGACCTGGCTGTCCCGGTGCACTCTCAGGCCCCAGCCGCCGCGCCGTGTCCCCGGACGCTCCGTGGGCGGGCCGGGATAAAAATGAATGAATACTTCTATCCTGCTCGCGGCCCACCGCTGCCTCCGCCTGGGCGGTGCCCGCGCCCCGGCCGCGCCCTGGGCGGAGGCGGCCTGCTGGGTCCGGCGGGCCGGCCAGGATCGTTCTGCTCCCCAGTAGGGCCGGTGGCCCGAGCCCAGAGCTTCAGGCATCCGTGCGCACTGGCCGACCCCACCCCGGCCTCGGGTTTTCAAGGTTCGGGAGATGCCCTGGCGTTAAATTCGCGCGCATCCAGTGACCGCCCTCCCCGCCGCCAGGCCTTTAAAAGGCAGGCAGGCCACGTGTTAACAAGGCTCAGTAGATCCCGAAAGGGCAATGTGGAGAAAAGCAATCACTAAAGGACGTGATGCTGGCTTTATGTACTTCAACACTATTATGTAATCCTACAGAGAGGTTTTACATGTAATATAATGCCATTTGCGCGCAAATATGTGTGTGTGTGTGTATGTATGTGTATATATATGTACACACACATATATATGCAAACAATTACATTAGTTTTTGGGCTATGTGTGCGTAAGTTTTTTGGCTGCAAGGGTATAGACCATATCCAAGAGAATAGAAAGGGATGGGATGGGATGGGGAGAGATCAAAAAACACTAATTTTACCTTAAGTTATATTTCTTTTTTTCCAAAAGTAATTGAAGCAAAAATTTACACTTGCTACTGTGTGCTTCTGGGTGGAAGAGTACCAGGGGCACCCTGCCACACAAGTCATGGAAAATAGGTCAAGCCAGGAGCTCTAGTACCCATCCTGTTACATGGTGCTCCCAGGTGGCTGGTTTGTTTGCCCAAGAAGAATTTGCAAAGGTCGTCATCATAGAGGTAAGAGAAACAGGAAAGCACTCAATGAGATAGGCATAGGGGATGTTGCCAGCACTACCATCCAGGCGCCTGTGAGCCTGGACATCATGGCTTGGCAGTTTACATAGATACTTGCCTTTGCAAAGTGGATTGCTAACCTATGCTCAACTTGCAGTTTATCAGAATTGCAGCCACTGAGTATGTGCAGGACCCTGGGCCCAATCCCCAGCACCAAAACAAAAGCAAAAACCCCCATCTAAACACAGGTTTGTGCAGACTTGGAAAAAAAGGTGCAAAAGTAGTAGAAGAAATTTCAGCCTATCCTTCTGATTTCCCCTAATGTTAGAATGACTTGATGTTTTCATTTGTCTTTACCATTCCCGCTCTTCTTGAAATATATGTATATAGGTATGATTTTAAAAATTCATGTCTGTGTATGTATATGTATGATTTTTCTTCTGAAATATTTTACAGTGCAGAATGCCCCTTAGTGTGTATTTCTTAAAACCAAGAACATTCTGCTACATAGCCATGTGCATTAATCAAAATATTTTTTTAAAGAAATCAGAAGATGGACATTGTTGTAACTGTTATCTAATGGGCAGACCTAACTTGCCCGTAGTCTCACTTTTATCTGGTCTGGGATCCAACCCAGGCTACCTGTTCCTTTTAATTGTCAGGTCCCCTTAGTTTCTTTCTATGTGGAACCGTCTTTCATGATCTTGACACTTGGGTGGAGTACGGGGTGGGCCCATTCTTCTGTGGAATACCTGCACTACAGCTTGGATCTGGAGTGTCCTCCAAAGGTCATGTGTTAAAGGCTTGGTCCTTAGTGTTATGGGAGACAGTGAAAGCTTTAAGAGGGAGAGCCTAGTTAGTGGGTGTTAGGTCATTGGGGGGCACCCTTGAAGAGATTAGTGGGACCCCAGCCCCTTTTCCTTTTTCAGTTTTGTTTCCTGGCCATAAAGTTAATGTGTTTTATTAAAAATACTGAGGTGCCATAAGAAATTGGGCATGAGCTGGAAAGTGGATGGGCAAGGCATTTACTCCTGTCAAAAGGTGTTCGAGGGGAACCTGGCTAGTAAGCATGTCTGGGTGGCCATATCCTGATTGGGGGAGCTCAGTGATACAAGCTATTCGACTAGCTAATTTTAAAACTGGGGCGGGAAAGGGGATTAGATCCATTAAGGCTCTATTCTGAAAATGGACCACTGGGCTTTGTGTCTCCCACACTTCGCTTCACCGTGCATTCTTCAGGATGTGCAGCCTCACCACAGGCTCAGAGCAGGGGGCAGCAGATCATAGGCTGAAAGCTCCAAACAGCCTGCCGAAATAAACCTGTCCCTTTCTGAGCGGTCACCTCAGGCTTTGTTGTTGCAGAAGGAAGCTTACCAACACAGGGCCTCCATTGGGATTTTCTGATGTTCCTGTGGTTAGATTTGGCTTGTACAGCTTGGTTGGAGACACCACAAGTGTGATGTGGGCCCTTCTTGGCACATCTCAGCAGGCACAGAGCAATCTTTTAAAACCTATCAGGCCACCCCACGTGCCTCCTATAACTGGGCCATAGTTGAGGTTTTCTTGCTCTGGGTAACCTGGCTTGGGCTGGCTTCTGCTGATCCACCCCCTGGACTCCCACGAAGACCTTGACCTTTCAGAATCTCACCCTAGCCAAGTTTGTCTTTGCTGCTTGGTCTTTGCACCTCAGGGTCCCTGTCTGAAAGCTCTTGCCCCTACCTTTGCCTGACCAAACCTTTCTCATCCCCCAGCTCCTTGGACAGCCTACCCTGACCTCCTAATCTCCCCCACCCCCAGGCATTCCCCATGTCACTGCTTGATTTATTTTCCCCACAGCACCTGAAAATATCTCATTTAATTATTTACAGGCTTGTCATTTACTTTCCCACACTAGGACAAATGAAGACCCTATTCGTCATGACATTCAAAGTACCCAGCACAGTACCTGACACAAATATCTGTTGAATTATTAAGCACATTACTCTTAACTCTTTCTGAATACATAAAGAATAACCAGAAACAGCAACAATATTTATATTCTAATAAAATAATGTGATTTAAATATACAAGCTTTTAGAATTTTTATTTTGCTATTACATTCCTAAGTCTAATCATTAAACAAACATCTGCCAAATATAGGGTCCGGCTTTTGTTTATGTAGTTCCCATAAGCCTTGTTGACTTTATAACCAATAAGGAAGCCATCCTTCCTCCTCCTCTTGTTTTTTTCTGGTAGTGCTGAGAAGTAACTTAGCAAGATCCTACCTCAAAATAAAAGGGTCCATGATGTAGTTCAATGGTAGAGTGCTCCTGGGATTAATCCCTAGTACCCCCCCAAAAGCTGAGTCCCCCGGCATGTAAGGTCTCGGGTATGCTAGGCAGGTACTTTGCCACTGGGCTGCACCCCAGCCCCAAGGAAGCTGTTCTCAAAGATGCCATTATCTATTTCATCCATCAGTCCAGCTACATGTCTACAATCATCAAATTAGATATTTGCGGGCTGATGTTGTAGCTCAGTGATGGAGAGCTTGTGTTGCGTGAGTGAGGCACTGGGTTCTAGCCTCAGCACTACATAAAAATAAGTAAATAAAGATATTGTGTCCATCTACAACTAAAAAAATTTTAAATTAGATATTTGCTCATCATTAAATTTTCTTTATTTCTATTTTTTTTTTTCTGGTGTTGCTGGGAATTTAACCCCAGGCCTTGCATATGCAAGGTGAGTACTCTACTAACTGAGCTACATCCCCAGCCCTTCATCATTACATTTTTTATAAAGGGAGCACATGGCTGAACAGAATACATGACTTCTTAGCATTAACACAGAATTTGTTTTCCCAAGAGGAAAATGGAAGCCAGGGACCAGATGCATTCCTGTGGTCCAGCAAGAGGTTGAGGCAAGGAAATGGCAAGTTCAAGACTAGCCTGTGCAACCTTGTCCCAAATTAAAAAACAAAATGGACTGGGAATGTAGCTCAGTGGTAGAGTACCCCTGAGATCAGTCCCTCAAACAGAAGCTGAGGTTCTCTGCAAGTTGCAAGAACTGCATCTACCTGTCAGCCAGGTGAGTGCTTCTCAGAAGTAGAGCTTCTAGTCTCGCCCCAGCAACACCTTCCTTGCCATTCCATGGCACCTGGACCCAGCAAGCCCTCATTTGTTCCTGATCCAGGTCTGAAGTGTTTTATTACTGTTTCATGCTGTTACCTTCCCCCGGCTCATTTTGCAGTGCTAGGCAAGTGTTCTGTCACTAAGCTGAGGCCCATCTCTTCAAGCCATTAACTTCTGCAATTTGTTTTACAGTGATAGTTAACTAACAACAAAAAATATGGATGATCTCACATAAAAACCTAGGCATCTGGTTTACTTTGAAAACCCTAAGATTGGGAGACATTGGCCCCATTTCTTGTGTGGCTATAGCCATTTGCCCGTGGAAAGCCAATGTCTCTCAAGGATGGAGCAAGCACTCAGTGGCCTCAGGCCTGGGGCCTTCACACCACTCAGCCAGCAGTGCCATTGACACACAGCTGCTCTGCTCCCTCCCTCACCTGCCTGAGTTCTCCAGCTCCAGTGCAGTGAGCTGCAGGGGTAATGATGAAGGAATGCACGACCTGGGGCTTACAGAGCAGCATCTACGTGGTGCCCACTGTGTACTCAGCACTCTCCAGGACTGGGGCAGTGAATAGCCAGGAGATGAATGTGATGAGTCAGCCGTATAGAGCTGGCCTCCTGCATCCCTGGTTGTGTGCAGCCGTGGATTCAATAAAGGGCAGTTGGAAAGTATCAGGGAAATACAGTGCATCTTTATTGAACATGTTCAGCTTTTTTCTGTCTTTCTTCTTCAAACAATACACTACTTGCATTGCATGTGCATCGTGTAAGCATTACAAGTGATGGAGAAGTGCCACACACCTGCAGCTTCACTGCCTGTGGGGGTCCTGGAGCCCATCCCACGGGCACTGAGGGACGACTGCAGGAGAGCCAGTGGTGACTGCTCAGATGGAGGAAACAGCAGTGGAAGGGACACAGAGTGTCGGAGAAAGAAGGTGGTGTGCGAGTCGGGTGACCAGCGGCCCTCCCTAGGGAAGGAGCCAGGTGGAGGGGGAGGACTCCAGGGAGCGGCTGGGGTGCAGGAATGCACCTGTGCCTTGGCTTCCATTTTCCTTTTTTCCTGATAATCAGGGATGGCGAACATCCAGCAGCTGGGAGGACTGAGCTCAGAGGTCAGGAGCGGCTCACTTTCTGTGAGCCCCTGCTGTGGTCTGTGTGGGTGTCCCAGGTCCTACCCTGAAGTCTCACCCCGAGGTGATGCACCAGGAGGCGGCTTCCAGAGGCCACTAGGTCATGGGTGGAGCCTCATGTCTGGGACCAGGTCCTTCAGGAGTCCCCAGAGAGTTCTCTCCCTTCCACCATGTGAGGGCTCAGAGAAGCGCCGCCTGTGAACCAGGTGGCAGCTCATCCCTGACGCCAGATCCGGGGCACCTTGCTCCTGGACTCCCTGCTTCTAGAGCTGAGAGAGCTGTCTCTGCTGTCCATACACCACCCTGTCTACAGTAAAGGCCATCTCAGCCGGAACAGACTGACAATCTCCCAAACAGGGAGTGCCCACTGCTGTTTAGCAAGAGGAACTTCAGCCACAGGGCATTGGCAGACCACTACAGCACAGTCAGTTTCTACAAAAGAAACCTTCATTCTGTGTCCCAAGTCACCTTAGGAGAAGCTGGTCCAGGGAAGAAGTAGAAAACACTAAGCACTCAGGAGCCTGAGGCAGGAGGATGGCCGGTCTGAGGTCCACCTTAGCAACCTGTCTCAAACAATGAAAAGGGCTGGGGATGTAGCTTAGTGGCAGAGCACCCCTGGGTTCAGTTTCCAGTAATAAAAAAAAAAAAAAAGGAGGTGTATGTACTTTTTCAGTTTCAAAAAAACTCTTACCTATCAAGTGGTACTGGGACCTTAGCGCAGGGTGCTTTACCACTGAGCTATATTGCTAGCCCTTTTAATTTTAAATTTAGAGATAGGGTCTTGCTAAGTTACCCAGGCTGGCCTCAAACGTATGATCCTCCTGCCTCAGACTCCCAAGCAACTGGATTACAGGCTATGCACCATAGTGCCTGGCTTGTGGTATATTTAGTTTTTATTTTTTAGTATTGGGGATTGAACCCAGGGGTGCTTTACCATTGAGCTACATACTAGCCCTTTTAAGATTTTGAGACACTGTCAATTTATTAAATTGCTTAGGGCCTCACTAAATTGCCCAGGTTGACCTTGAACCTGCAATCCTCCCACCTCAGCCTCCCAAGATGCTGGGATTACAGGCGTGTGCCAGTGTGTTTGGCTTTAGGTACATTTTAAATGCTTGCTTTTAACAAATGGAACGCTTATGAGACTTGCCAACGGCCAATGAATGTAACGTTACTATTCTATTTATAAGGTAATGACAGGGTAGACATGGCTTCCTAGGGCTACTGTAAGATAATACCACAAGCTGGGTGCCTGAAAATAAAAGAAATTTGCTTTTTCATAATCAAGGCATGGGTAGGACCATGCCCTCCCTGACAGCCCCTAGGGAGTGTGTCCCCTGCTGCTCATAGCTTCTGGCCTTGCTGGCCATCTTCCATGGCCCTGAGCAGTAGGCTACTGGCTTTGGTCAGTTTCTGCTCCTGTATGTCCTGCATCCTCTCCTCCATGAGTCTGTCCCCTTTCCTCCTGAGGACACCAGTTACAGCAGCAGAACCTCTCCTAAAGACCCCATCTTACCTTGATCTCCTGCAAAGACCTTTTACAAAAGATGTCAGTTTTGCCAGGTACCCATGCTGACGAGATGAGCTGGGTTCAAAAGAGCTGGCTGCAACATTAAGCTAAGAAAACAGTGAGAAATCACGCAACACAGGAGTTTTCACGTGGAGGGTAGGACGGCTCTGTGACCTTAAGGGGCAGCTTCCACACTGGAAGGCGCTGGAAAGAGAGTGCACTGGAATCTCTTTATTTTATAGGGGGACACACAAAGGAGATTCGATGGAATGTTCTTTACCAAATAAGGCAGGGGTTAAGGTTTTAAAGGTGGAGTCTTGCTTCATGATGTCTTGTGGTCAGCAGACTGATTGACATCTTGGCAAGTCACACCATTTCAGGTGCTGTGTGGGGCAGCATACATAGTGAGAGGAGAGGGGCACTTACACCGCTCAGCCCACTCAGTGTGCAATGCCAGACCTGTCCCCTCATATAGCTCCAATGTGCAAAGCTCACACACTCAGCTCATGGATGGCTTGCGACAGGTCAGGTTCCTAGGAATGGTGGAGGGAATTTTGAAGATACAATTCAACCTCTAACAGGTTTATTAAAAATTACCCTTTTATATAATGGTCCATAGCTGGGGCACAATTTCAAGGTTCAAGGTTGCCCAACAGGGCTTTTACAGTTCCTGGAGTGAAACTGCTGGGTCAGAATGGACTGTATTTCCTGTTTTCTTCTCCCTGGAAGGTGGGAGAATGGTGTCACACTGTGGTTTGGCTTTTTTCCCTGATAATCAGGGATGTCTAGATTTTTTCTTCCCAACAGCCATTCTTGCCCAATAGGCATCTCCTTGGAAGTGAACTACTTTTAGCATTTCTAGCATCTTTCTCCTGGACAGCATCATTGCTCTTAAGAGACAGACTTGGATTTGAGGAGTGATTCACAATCAGGCAGCACTAGAGCAGGAGCAGCAGGACTAGGTCTCGGAGTGCTGGGGGCACTTTCATAAGTGCTGGAGGAAGTGGCATTTCTGCTGGTAGAAGTGGGATGTTCCTTGTGACCCCTGTTAGAGCTGGCAGTCCCTGGAGGGCTGGTCCTATGCTTCCTACTTCTGTGCACATGGTGTTGAGCTTTGGTTTGCTTATGGAGGAGCCCAGGCAGAATGAGGACCTCCAGCTAATTTTTTAACAATGCTAACCCCAAAATCTTGGTGTGTGAACTGTACCCTGTCTTCTTTTCATTCACACAGTGACACGATGAATAACTCTCTTGACAATGGGACAAGGGTTTGTGTGGCTGGCAGAAAAATGGATCTGGTGACATCCAGGCCCCAGTCC